GGGCTACAGGGAGACCCTGTCTCAGAGAGAGAGAGAGAGAGAGAGAGAGAGAGAACTTCCCTGAGCGTAAGAATGCTGCTTAAAGGGTTCTTAGCTCAAAACGACTTCCTAGGAAAGTGTTCTCTCAGATTCGGCCATTGAGGTATACAGAGCCCACGACAGCTTTGATGAAGGAGGTCAGGTTATATCTGAAGCTAGCAGCAGAACTTGGCATCATCAACATGGTGCTGGTTTTTTAGGCATGCAAAACACAAGAATTACGGGGTCAAGGATGCTTACACCGAGGTTCCAGAAAGCTGCTGAGGCCAAGCACATGTAGCAGGGTCTGGTTCCCTGTATAGAGGCCCTGGGAAGCCATTCCAGGAAAACTGAGCAGGTGAAACCTAGGGTGCAAGGGAGAACCCAGGACGTTGGCGATACCAGGACCATGCGATGCCCACCAAAGAGAGTTGCAGGCACAGAGCAGGGCCAAACCAAGGGAGAGGTCATATGTGCTATAAGCAGCAGAGCTGTCCAGGGCCTCTGCAGCCCTCCACCATGCTGTCATAAGGCCCTGGTGATTTCATCATGAGTCCCAAATGTCGGACATGGAGCTGTAAGGCTTGGCACTTTGGCCACTGGGTCTTCCCTTCCCAATCTCTTCTTCCCTGCTTTTGGAGTAGATATGCTTACTCTGTGCCTTAGCATGTTAGACATATGTACCTTGATTTCTTGAGTTCGTTGTTATTGTTGATATTTTATTTTTACTTTACAGGACTAACGATTAGGAAATTGTCTTGGGTCTCAGAAGAAGCTTTGGATTTGGGGCTTTTGAAGTGCTGCGACTGTTAGGGACAAAGGAACTTTTGAAACTGGAATGAACGCCCAGTGCTTTGCAAGATCTCCCTGAGCCTGCGGAGGGCAGAGGCAGAGTGCTGTCACTGAGTGTGAAACGTCCCCCATAAGTGTGTGTATTCGAACACTTGGTCCCAGATGCTGACACTATTTTGGAAAGGCTGTGGAACCTTTAGGAGGTGGACCCTCACCAGAAGAAACGAGTTACTGGGGTGGATCTTAGTTGCATAGCCAAGCTCCACTTCCTGCTGGTGCTCTTCAGGACAGTCGATTTGACATGACTGGATGCCTCACACCCCCACCACCATGGGGCGGCCTCCTGCCATACCTCTGAAACTGAGTCAAAATAAACCCTTCCTCCCTTAAGAAAAGGAAAGAAATTTATTTCTAATTTTATTTATGAAGTTTTTAATGATGTATCTATCTTTTGATAAACAATAGATTGTTATTTTTAAATTGGATATATATGTCAAAATCTCAGACAAAAGCTAACAGTAAATACCAAAAAATTAATAATGTGTTAGTGTTCCTCTGACTGCTGCTGCTGATTTTCTTCTCTGTATATCCCTTCAGGAATTCCCTGTGATAGAAATGCACTTTTAGAAATAAGGGAGAAAAATAAATATTTTTTGAAATAGTGATATTTTACTTTTTAAAATCTTAGTAGACTTTTCCCTCGTGGGATCTTAAAGTACTGGAAGTATTGGTTTCAAGTCTTATTCTACTGACCAGCAAGTTTGAAAACAAAAGCAAACTCTCCCCGACAGAGGTGAGAAGAAAGGAGAGCCCCTCCTCCCCTCCCTAGGCTGGGGCCTCCTCAGCTTCTCCTCTCCCAGGGCCACACAGCCCTAAGCTGCTCACACACCTCACCTCGCTGGGCTCCAGCTCCAACACTCTCTCTGAATCACAGTTTTCTATCACTCGCTTGTTTCTTGGTAACTATTAAAATCCTTTCAAAGTCCCTAACAAAAGTCACCAACCACCTTCTCCATGCCGGACTCCCAGGCAGATAACGACCTTTCTTACCTCAGTCTAGAAATTGAATTCTTGACCACCAGTGCAAGGTTCCTGCTTCCGGGGCTTCCCTGTGACCCGTGGCATGAGCCAGTCACAGGTCTCCACAGACAAGGTCCCTGCTTCCAGCCTCATCCCACTGCCCCTCGGACATCTATCACCTGAAACCTGAAACGCCTCTTCCACGAACCAATCGCCGTGTCTCCAGGACGACTCCTAACAGTCTATCTCCAGCCTGTCTTAATGCCATCCATCCCCACCTCTAGCAGGAGCCAGATTTCAAAAATGAAATCTAATGATGTGCTTATACTGTTTAAGATCCCCAATGACCTCCCCTCCCCTCTTGTCACTGCTGCTATTCAGGACAGATTCTAAATTCCTTGCCTTGGCCCTTCCTAACCTATCCAGCCTAACTGGTTAGCTGTCCCTTATTTTATTTGCTTATTTATAAACTTATTTAAGTCAAGGTCTTTTGTAGTCCAGGCTAGCCTTGAACTTGTTATGTAGCAAAGGGTGATCTTAAACTTCTAATTCTCCTCTCTCCACCCGCTTCGTGCTGGGATTACAGGTATCCGCCACTACACCCAATGCTCCCCCTCCCATGTATTCACATATTTACAAAATGAGTTTTTTGGAGGGTAGATTTGTTTGATTTTGATGGGGGTCTTTGCTATTGTTCTGTTATTTGGGTTTGGTTTTGTTTTGTTTTGTTTGAAACAGGATCTCACTATGTAGCTCTGGCTAACCCAAAACTCAATATGTAGACCAGGCTGGCCTTGCACTTAGAGCACTCCTCTGCCTTTGTCTCCTGAGTGCTGGGATCACAGGCATGGGCCACCATTCCTAGTCACTCCATGAGTTTTGATGGAGCACTTTCTATGTGTGAGGCAGTACACATGGGGATTCAGCCATGACAGATGCACACCCTTGAGGCCTGGACCCTGTCCTCACTAGAGCCGCTTTCCATCCTGGCTACACGGAATGTGCTGTATGGCCAGTAGCATTGGCAGCACTAGATCTCAGACCCTTCCCCAGACTCACATCTCTGCCTTTCTATTCTCGGCTGAGCTCCTACACAGGTCCAAGTTTAAGAAGCACTGCTCTCAGACTCTTGAGCCCCCACTGCCTGTCCCCCCGACCCCCGGCTTCCCTATCTTTAACTCTGACATATCCTTCAGTTTCTAAATGGATTTCATGTCTGTTAAAAGGAGCTCCCTCACTGACCTAGTACAGGGTTAAGTGACCCACCTACATGATGTCACTATCAGAGCATCATGTTTATACTGTGGTGGTCGCACCAACACCTGAGAGTGTTATAAAGGCAGACAGGGCATCTGTCCTTCAGTGTGTGTATCCTTAGCAGAGAGCCAGTATCCGATGCAGCTAACTGATAAAAAACTATTGAAACAAACATAGAGCCCGATACAACTATGTAACTCCCAGGTTTATGAAAGCATTCAGTTTCTAAACGCTCGGGAGAGGATGGGATTTGGAAGCAGGTGGGAGGCAGTGATCGGGTTCCTAGGAAGAAAGCAGCATTATCATCATCAATTCCTCAATTTGATGCCTCAAGTTTTATGCTCAGGACTAAGTGTACACAGGCTCTGCTGACTCACTGGACAGTTCTGTGTAAAGAAGAAAAGCCCTATGCTAGTGCAGATGCAGTTCTAGACCTGGGCGCACGGAGGACACAACAAGCAAACCAAGCTGCTTTCCACGTGTCCCCATGTAAGGTAGAGCCTACACAAACATGTGATAGCCATGTCATGTGCCCACAATTAGACCGAAAGACTGGCCAGGGGAACAAACACTGAACATGAGGTCCTGGCACCACATGACACCGAATGAGGAATTTAATTTTCAGCAATGCGCACTTGGCAGGGCTTAGAGAATCAACAATTTCAAATAGTCCAGAATCATGCGAAGTTTATTTGCTAGAAGTGAACATCAGATGCGACCATAGTTACTCTTGAAGAGGTTTAACATCAACCTCGCAGCAAAGCCCAGGTCAACATGCCACTTACGAGACTGTTATCTGTCCCTCCATAAGCCCACCACCACCTCCGCAGTGGGGAGAGAGGCTGGTCCTGTAGCCCCGTCAGATGAATTAGTTGGCTTACAAGGAGAGTTCTTGCCTTCCTGAAGTTCTAAACTTCCAATACCAGAATCTCTCCAGTGCAGTGAGATGCCCACATGCAGGGCCTCCACCCCATGGACCCCAGGGGAGACCCCTTTCCATCTTTTACTTCTGGGCCCTTGTCCATGGAAGGAATGAAAAGTGAAATCAGTAACACTTTAAACTATGTTTGTCTCTTTTTGTGGCAACATGGCCTAGTTTGTTTCTTCATTGCTGTAACAAAACACTCTGACCACTACCAACTTGGGGAGGAAAGGGTTTATTCAGCTTACATCTCCCAGGTCACAGTTCATCAGGGAACTCAGGGTAGGAACCTGGAGGCAGGAGCTGGAGCATAGGCCATGGAGGAATGCTGCTTACTGGCTTGCTCCCTGGCTCACGCTCAGCCTGCTTTCTTACGCAACACAGGCCCACCTGTCCAGGGGTGGCACCACCCACAGTGGGCTGGGGGCTGGGCCCTTCCACATCACTCATCAAGAAGATGCCCCACAGACATGGTCACAGGCCAGTCCAATAGAGGAAATTCCCCAGTTGAGGCTCCCTCAACCCAGGTGTGTCAAGTTGACACTAAAGCTATCCAACACACATGTGTAGTTGAATTTGGGCACGTTAAATGCATAGTCTAATGAGGCTTAAAAACTCCCAAGTAAAATCCATGGTCTGTGCTCCAGGTTCCCGCCCTGAGCTCCCGCCTTGGCTTCCCTCAATGGCGGACTGTGGGCTGTGAGCCGAGGTGAACCCTTTCCTTCCCAAGTTGGTTTTGGTGAGTGTTTTTATCACAGCAACAGAAAGTAATTAGGACAGGCCAGCAGGAAATAAATAAATAAGCCAACAGGAAAATCACTAACTCCTGACAGAAAAATGGATGGAGTCTTAACTGGGTAGGGGTATAAATGGCTTCTGGTAGCTAGTTGATGGGAAGACAGAACCAAGACAGCCACAGCGGGGAGGCCGTGTTTGACTCGGCCACAGGCGCAAAGGCGCAGCGCGCATGCAGCTCAGGTCTGATACTCACTGTTCTTCTTGTACATAAGAATCTCAAAGGAATTCATCTCATAGTTCTCAAAGGTCTGGCGCACCTTCTCGATCGTGTCTGTGTCAGTCAGCTCTCCATACATAAAACTGAAAACCAGAGAGCCCAGGTTAGCAAGTCAGCAAGTAGCTATCAGTCTGCAAGCAGGTGTTAAAGATCTCATCTCCACCCACACTGCTGTACACTGTGGGACATACATGCACATGTACACACCTGCACACACACATGCACGCACACATGTGCACATGTGAACACACATGCATGCACACACAGTGAAGACATTTTTTAAATTTTAAAACTAACTGATTTGACTATGCCAAACAAACTCCATCTCTACCCCTAAGACGTTAATGAGAAATACATGCAAGAAATCAGTAGCTCAATAAACAGAAGCATGCCATGGCATGGAACACACTCTGGTTGGCCAGCCAACGCTTCCTGGAAACAGAGACAAGTAAGGGCTCAGAGTAGAAGAAATGAGCTTCAAAAAGCAGGAAAAAGAACACATCAGGCATGTATGTGCCACGGTACAAAAGAGGCCAACTCCAGACATTTCCATGTGACAGGACTGCAGACAGGGAAGGGAAATTCTGCAGTAAAACAACACAGAGAATTAAGAATGGCCAGATGACAGAGAAGACTGTGACTTTCCAAGGCTGGGATGTGCCCGAGCTTCCATCTGTACACGGCTGGAGGACGCGGGAGGGTTTTAAGCAGAGGAGAAATAAAGTCAGATTTCATTTTAAAAACACAGCTCCAGGAGGTTTCTGATAAAGAAGGCTGGGTGCATTTGGACTACAGACTTTCCCTCTTCTAATTCCAAACTAGATAAAGAGAAGGAAAGAAAAAGCTTTAGCAGCCAAACAAGAAAAGGTGCCACCTGATGCTCTAACACTGACAGAGGGAGGAACTGAAGCTTCTGCCGCTGCCCACAGCTTGTTCGCGCCTCCTCAACCCTCCAAAACAGACCAACAGCACTGGGTTTAAAAACTGAGAGAATAAAACCCTACAGCGCTTTAATGATACATCTCCCTGCTGCCAGATTTGGAGAAAAGCAGCCTAAAGGTGAAAATACACAACGTGTAAAGTCTAGAGAAACCTCAGGGCAGTCAAAGCAGCTGACAAACCCTATTTCTCAGCAGAGGCAGAAAAGCTGCCAGGACCGCCCTGTATCCTGGGCTGCACACTTGGTAAGGCCTGCTCACCAAGGCCCGTCCTTCCAGGAGCAGAATATAACCCCGCCCCCAAACACACACACACAAGGAGGGCGAACCAGGCACAGGTCACTAACATAACTATGCAAGAGGAGATGAGCAGAAGCTGACTCCTCCCACGATGCATCCTCGCTCCACCAAGCACCCCTCGTGGACCTCAGGCCTTCAGGCAACAACAATGGTATCCTTCCACCAGGCTTCGTAATGCAGAAACAGGGCCATGGACTTGGATGGTACAGTTCCCATCTTCTAAAACTGCACTCCGAATATAATCCAGCTTTTCCTTGACAAACCTCAGAATCAGAGAATTTTGGCATTACAAAGAACCTCAAACAACTTGAAACTAAACCACCAGTTGACACTGGGCTCAGCTTGTCGCTGGAGTAGCCTTGGGCTCACTCCAGGCTTCCCACCTCTGTGCTCTGAGAGGAAAGAACCCTAGCTGCTGGTTTACTGAATTCAGTGTCATTTTGTTATTTTATGTTCCTTCTCGCCCACTGAGACCTGTAGCCATGTGTGGCTGTCCTTGCGTAGATCTCACAGAGCACCTGGCTTTGGGGCTATAGTCTTAAGCTTGGAAATTTCTCTACAAAGAAAAATAGATCAAGACTAAATTAGCCCAGCCTGGGGACAAGATGGCTTCTCCTCTCTGTCTTCCTGAGTTGTTTTCTAAATAAGCGACCTTCTGTACACACGGCAGCTTCAGCACAAGGCAAACAGATCCCCAGGGAGCTGTCTCCATGGACAGGAAGCACAGAGGGGCACCCAGCTTTCACTGGGCTAACGGACATCTTCAAGCTGTAGTTCACTGGTAGGTGAGCTTTCCTTTATCTGGACATTATAATGTCTGCAGTACAGGAAACGAGCCCCACCCCTCCCCCCAGGCTACCAGGACTAGGGCAGACACAGGAGGTGCATGCTCTGCCATTAGAGTTGCTTAGACTGGGTATAAAAGAAAAGTTGGCACAATTAGCAGGATATTCTATGTTTCCCTGAAGGTGAATGGACAGACAAGGATGGATACTCAGCAGAGAACAGCCCACAGAGAAGAGAACCACACTGACTGGAGACATAATTTCCAAGTCTTTGAGCAGTGAGGAGAAAAGCCTTAAACTGTCCATTTGTCAGCTCAAAAATCTAAAATTTAAGAAAATCAAAATAGTTTCCAAACATTCAGTACTCTCTATCAAGCACAGTTATCCAGCTGATTTAATGTATGAAGATGGCTTCTGAAAACAGAAGGCAGTGCTAGTCGGACAGGAGTCTCCACACTCCATAGATAATGCCTGGTCAGACTTCTCCATATCCCGTGATGAGTTTATTTCTTGATCTGGCAGATGTAGTTAATGATTCCACTCCATGCAGACACCACAGAAGATGGAAGAGAATAAGCAGCCAGAGGCTGTGCTGAGCTGAGATCTGGCCAGGACAGCACAGGAACATCTGCCAGAATCCAGGCTACGTGCCAGCTCAGCGCCTTGAAGATGCTTTAAAGCAGCTTTTCTAATGTCCAGGCCCAAGGGTAGTATGGTAACCGTGTCAGATACACAGACCGTGCTGTGTAACAGAACAAATTACACAGCACTGGCTTTCCTTTAGAGAACTCTGGCTGAGGAGAAGCTCTCTGAACAAGGTCATTGCCTCTTACCTTGTAGTTACTCTCTGTAAATGTTCATAAAGTTGAAGATTGGTCGAGTGCTTGCCTAATATGCACAAGGCTCCGGGTTCAATCCCCAGCACTGCATAAACTGAACATACTAACACGTGCTTGTAATCCCAGCACTCAGGAGGCTGATGCAGGTCAATCGGAAGTTGAAGGTCATTTCTGACTATATGGCACATTCAAGGCCATAATACAGAGACCCGTCTCAGCTAATTCACTAATTTTTAACTTACTCATCAAAACCTGCATTTCATTTTCATTAGATTTTCTTTGATCTTCTCTCACACTAAATTCTACCTTAAACCTCACGAACTTTAAGTTCACATTCTATATATTTTTCCTAGTCTTTCTGGGTTTCCTGCATCTTACTAGCGTCAGAATTGTGAGCTGTCTTTTGTCGTTGTTGGTTTTCCCAACACATGCTTTGAACTACAAAAGACAAGACAAGAATTCCAAAAAGCCCACAGAACAATATCAAGACGGTTCTGAACCAGAGCACGCCCTTTCCGTCCTCAAGGAGACGGTGCCACGGTGCCCTCCCCGAGCCCCCCCACAGTGCCCTCCCGA